TTAAATAAAGGCACTAAATTGAATCCTAGGAATTCTATTCCTATAAAAGCATAGTTATGGATAAATATTTTTAAATAAATTAACTTATTCTTACTTAATGAATTAGTATTTGAATTCCATGGATAATTTTGTCTACCGAAAGATTTTTTCAAACTCGTAATTTTAAAGAGAGTATGATGTGTGTGTGTGTAAATATACGTGCGTGTATATATATACACACGCACACACACACATATATATACATGTATATGTATACACACACATATGTGTGTGTGGGCACATATGTACATACTAGTATTGTGCACGTGCATTGCACGTGACTCACTTGTTTTATGTTTGCAATTTGATCGATTGGCAGAAAATTGAGAAAGTGCCAAAGTTAAAAAAATATATAGATACAAATTATGAAGTGCATGTTCTCTTAAAAAGAGTAAAAGTACATGAATTTTCAACAAACAACTGGTTGACATCCGTTTAAACTTTTAAATAAAGAAATGTCAGCATGAATGGAGTTTATTTGTTATAAAACCCCAAAAAATTACAACATTTATTAAACAAATGCATATTCATATATTTTTTTTTGATAACACTCCACTAACATTTCGCAAACAAACATTAATACCTAAACTTCAATCTTATTCATCACTACTTTTTCATCCACTGGAATACGTGTATTTGCAAAAGACATTGTTGAACGACCGTCGCGACATCACAAATCCTAGGAGGAACACTCCCCTTCTCAACCATGAATCTGATGATGTCGAGCATCGATGGTCAGAACTGGTGCATGATTTTTTGACTGCCATGTGGCAGTGGAGGCCTAGGTACTACTCGACATTTGCCAGGAAGAATACAATCTCGTCAGGATTGCATCATGGCGCTCTAGTAGAGAGGTCGACATCATCCTTGATGGAAATGGATAAGCGGGACAAGGATGGAGCTTGAAGTGTTGAGGGGAAGTCACAAACTATAATGATAAGGAAGATGAGGGAGAGTATGAGAAGGAGAAGGTTTTGGAGGAGAGATATTACTGGATTTTGCTGTGAGGATGGAGAGGTAAGAGATGAAGATTTATAGATTGATGAGGTGTTTCAGTTTATGAGAGGAGATGAAGAGGGTTTTTAAGGTGTAAATGCAAGTTTGAAAGGACTAACGATAGTAATAAGTTAATTTTAATGACATGGTAATCAATTTATATGCAATGGTAATGGTGGTAATATAAATGGATAATCTTTATGATATAGTGATCAATTTAGATGTAGTGGCTCTAGCACCTCATCATATGATAAAACCATAAGAAAATTAAAACGCATTAGTATATATTAATTTGTATATGTTGTTCGGATTTTGGATGTTTAATTATTTGAAATATCAAAATAAAAGCTTTTACTAATCTTTAATGTGCAAACTCAGATTATAACAAATCATGTGTAAACTAAACGATATGATTTTTTTTCTTCTTGGTATTTTTAAAGTGGCTTTAATATTTAGTTATAATGTTTGGATATTATGGTAAAAATGTGTAGACTTATGTGTGTACAATGGTAAAAATGTACATTTTAAGTATAACAAATCATGTGCAAAATATGCATCTGTAATTTCAATAAACAAAAAGGAACGCTACATAATTGATATGAAGGGATATAGTTTTATTGTAATTATTTTTTTGATTTAATTCAAGTTGCATAATAATTATAATTATTACATTGATAGTAAATGTGTATGTATGTTCATGTATGTATGTATGTGTTATCATCAACATACAAAAAATTACATAGATATCTAGAAGAACATAAATGACACATTTAAATTGTAGATAAAATTGGAGGGCAATTTTGGGAGAAATGTTTTAACATGCTACACACTTTTAGAATAGTATTATATATATATATATATATATATATATTATATAGCTGCCATATATTTAGTACTATATATATATAGTATACGGTAGTATATATATATATGAAACTTATGTCAACTTACGGTGGATAGGAGCATTGTCCACCAAACTTTTTTTTCTACTCATCTTGCCTTTAGATTTGTGCATCAAGAGATGCACAAATCTAAAAAGACTCTTCATATCTTTCACGGATTCTCATGGCAACATCAATGGATAAAAAAGTTGGTGATGACTTTCTCCTATCCACTTAAGTTTACAATAAGACTACTATATATATATATATATATAATATATATATATATATATATATATATGTGTGTGTGTGTGTGTGTGTGTGTGTGTGTATAGACACACATATATGCTCATTCACGATTCGTTTTGATGTTGAGCCTAAAAATGTAAAATATTAGTCGCGCGGCCGTGTTTGCTTTTGGGTTTTTGGGGGTGGAGGTGGCGGTGGAGGGTTTAGTTCAAACAATTTAATGCCGCCCTGTAATTAGCGTTCTGTTGCAAACTAGCCCTTGCATTTGCGTATCCATAATGTATAATTGAGGATGCTTGCTCACTTGAAAGGATTTATTTCAGGCTCGTATGAAATTGGACCTGCAATCACATACTTCATAAGAGTTGTTACGAGTTAGAAGCATAGGGGTGTTAACAGATAAGTATCATATTCGTATCTACTTACCAATCGTGGTATACGGATATGTCCCGGTAACAAAAATTCATATCCATATCTTCTAAAATCGAGAATTATAATAGTATATATATATATATATATATATATATATATATATAATATATATTATATATATATAGAGTAGAACTTGTGTCAACTTAGGTGGATAGTAATAGTGTGTCCACCAAACTCTTTTATCCACTCATTTAACATATAAAAAGTCACTTCATATCATGCAAGGATCCCTAGGAAACATCTAAGGTTAAAAAGTTTAGTGGATGTCCACTTAAGTGGACACAAAGTTTTGCTCTATTATATATATATATAGTATATATATTATATTAAATATATATATATATATATATATATGTATGTATATAGTTATACATATACATATCTATTATATGTGTATACGTATATGTATATACATATGTATGTATATGTATATACGTATATATGTATTATACACACACACACAGTATTCACTTGAGTGGATAGGTGCTTTTATCCTTCCGACTTTGTAACAATTGGATAGACTAAATTGATCAAGATCTAATCAAAAGATGAGTTGTCATCTTTTAATGCAAGAAGGATAATTTGGTGAAATTAACTAAACAAATTCACGAAGAAACGAAAAAACAATTGTATCTTCCATCTCCGCTTCTTCTCATGTCTGTGACGAAGATAGAAAACCTAAATTATGCCTCCCCTCATTGGGAGATAGCCACAGATTCCCTGTAGAAAAAATTATGAAATAATATTATGATCATGCTAATCTCAGCTACGAAAGAATTTTTCAACTTTGCTAATTCTGTCTTTTCAATATAATATTTTGCAGTGTTATCGAGATCACTTATTACTGTTCACTTTTGAATTTTGTTTAACCATAGATAGAGGTTTGTTCCATTTATTCAAGTTATTCAGCCTTAACTTTTTGTTTTCTGTTTGCAGCCAGTTTCATGGCTTTCGACTTTGGTTTAATTTTATGTCCTTCTTGTTCAATGTAATTTCCCTTTGTTATTTGTTATTGTTGTCATCTATTTCTTTCCTTATCATCGTGATACTAAAAGTAGATTAGCTCTTTCAGGAGAACGGATTTCGTTGGTATTAATCATGTTACATTTCTATTTGAGATAATTCAGCAGTTTGTCAATTTCTTTTAATTCCTAAGCCTTCACCTATTAAGATTCATAAACTCCTCCAATAATGACCTGATACCCCTAACTATTTGCCGATTTCCGAAACTTCAGAGTTCAGATGGTCTAGAACCAATTATTTGTGAATAATATTTAAGTTTTCATTGCCAAATAAGTACTTGAACTGGTTATTCGTTAGCGACATTTTTTCTATTTGCCTGCGGGGATGAGCGTGAGAAGAAGCAATGAGATAACCACGCTTAGTTTTGTTTCTTTTTTGGTGTTGGGGAAATTTTACTAAACTATCATTTTTGAATTAAAGATGATAACTCAGCTATTAATTAGATCTTGATCAATTTAGTCCATGCAACAGTTAAAAAGTTAGATGGACAAAAAGCACCTATCCGCTCAAGTGGGTAGCAGCTCAACTACACACACACACACATACAGAGATACATATATGAATCTATCTATAAATATATACATATACATATACATATATATTTGTATACATTACATACATATATATGTATGTGTATATACATATACATATATCTGTATATATACATATACATATAGCTGTATACACACACATGTATATGTATATACATGTACATATATGTGTGTATATCTATAAATATACACAATATACATATATATGTATACATATGTATAAATTACATACATATATATGAATTTATATACATGTATCTGTATATGTATGTATGTATATGTATATGTATACATACATATGTGTATAATGACACCACTAATATGAATTTCTGGCTCCGCTACTGTATGTGCATGCATGCATTCCGTTGTGTAAAGATATGCATTTGCTGGTAACCTTAACTTCCATGTTTTCTTCTTATTTCAAAATTGATCAATTCTATGATGCTGAGACCATTCTGCATTTACTTCAGAGATAAATGAGAAATGAGTTTTGAAAAAAAAGCTTGATGATTTACCCATATTGTAATACAAATGAAATCTCCTTTATGTCTATTCTATTCAGTATCAGCACTTTGAAGCACATAGAAGGATTTTATCTTGCGACTGTGGTAACAGAATGTGTCATTGCCTTTTTGTTTGAAATTCAGGCAACCCCATTCTATAGTTATACTAATTTGTTAGTTATTCAGAATTAAACATCGAAATACTGTATATCGTACGGGACAGATACCATAATTGATTACTGCTGTCATTGCATGTGACGTTTTATTTGATTTGTTGTCAATTATTTCTTATATTTTACTCAATATTTGATATTTTTCTTGTTTAGGGGAAAACAGTGGTATGAACCTCAGTGGTGGAAATTTGGAGATGGAAAGTCGTGAGTATATCTAAACATTTCTCTCATTGCACATTCTTTATATGCTTCTTCTTGAATAGAACAATGAGAAGCAATTTGTTTTTGTTTGAGTGGGTTATTTATTGTGCTTGAAATGAGACAGTTTTCATTATGAAAATACTATCACTTGAGGTTAAAGAAACAATCAAAATTTCACCAACTTGATTGTGGTTGTTATGCAACAGGACTTAATAATTAGTTAATATGCTCATATATTTCTAGTTCATTTTGCTACCAAGATAGAAAACCTGATGAAAATAGTTTATAGAAAGCTCTGTGAAATCTAATTAATATTTTAACCATCCACAATTACATCACGCCAAGGTTTTAAATATCAGTTATCGGGATTTATCGGTCGGTCAAAATTCACATCGGATAGCCGATATCGGGGATATATTGGGGATAAGTAGTATTTATCGGAGTGACATTACCAAATGGTGATATACATAATATAACATTCTAATATGTAATCTAATCATACTTAATAAAATATAAATATACCAAAATGTAAATAATCATGTTTAGGATCACTAACCAATGGTAGAAACTCTGGTCGGGTCGGGTTTTAAATGCATTGAATAGGTGCTGATTGCTCAAAATCAAAACTCAAACCAAAGGCCGATAATTTTGATTTTTGGGTCGACAATATTGGTCGATAACTCACTCTATCGCCACATTATCGGCGATAAACATCCAAAAGCGATAAGCGATTTAGAATCGAACTTATCATAGTAAAAGGCCCCCAAAGCCGATAAATTGCCGATACTATCGGTTTATCAGCCGATACTTAAAACATTGCATCGCGCACGTAATCTCACAAATATTTATGATGTTAAGGAGCATGGAAAGGAAGTGATTAAGATGCACTCATGGACTCGGTTTTGATCCCTCATAAAAACTTCCGCACATCTGGAGAATCAAGTGCAAGTAATGTGGCATTCAAGGCATGCCCTTTATCTACTTTGTTTTGTTAGATAACCCATGTGGCGTGTGTCCTATGAGTTTTTCATTTCTCATCACCATTAGAAGGATGTTTTTCTATGTTTATGAAGTTCTGCCAGATTCTTGCAATTATTATCTGTTGAGGTAATGGTGCATTACTGTTACTTGCTTAAAACATGCAAATTATTATTTCCATGTTGCTATGATCATTGAGATAACTCTACGATTAAGTACAGTTTTTGAACTTGATGCTCTAAATTTCTTGCAGGTACTTTCGTCATGCTTCTGGTTCACTCTTTATACTGTCAAAAAATTTGGCTCGCTATGTCAACATAAACAGGTTAGATCAGGTTACTTGTACATCTCTGGTCGAAATGAAGCACAAGCATATAGTCCACCAGTACTATAGTTTTTCCTTTATATTTTGTCTGTTTATGGTTATAGGTTTAACTTTATAATACCAAACTTGATGAGGTTGCATGCTAAATATTCATATAATCGGAAAAAATCCCTGAATTTCTATCCTATTAAGTAGGTAGGATGGGAGATGTGGTGTGTTACTTTCAATTATTGATATGGATATAGCTTAATAGATGATGTATATTTCCCGCTAGAGGGAGGAATGAGTGACGGACGGAAATAGAAATGCTGGAATGGATTATGTATATTTTCTGTTAAGTGAACAGGGTGGGAGGGAGCGTGGGTGAAAGAGGGAGGGAGGGAGAGATAAGGCTAAAATATGGTATCAATTCTGATCTATGGATTTGCTTCCTATTATGCCCTTTTGTTCCTTTTGCCCTTAAGGAGCCTACTCCCTTCTAAATGTTTTGATATTTCTGAAGGATAGCAATATATGACTAAGATAGAGTACTAAATAACAGATTAGGTTAAGTTAGAATCTGAATTTATCTAACTTGACATTCACTTTTAATCATTGAAGCTGATCCAAATTCTTAAACGTGGCAAGTGTTTTAAAGAGGACTTGCCTGGCACCCAAGGAGCTCATGCATGTTAATTCAAGGCACCAGCACCTGACTGTAGTGCCAGGCACTACAGGTTTATAAGGATGTGCTAGAGGCACTTGCCTCAGATACATTTTAGACGAGAGGGTGTTCTACCCCCATTTTTCACTTTCAATGTTATCAGTTGCTGCCCTAATAGGTAGAGCTTAAATTTGGGGGAGTTAATGGTTGTAAAAGTATATAAAGGGTTTGGATCCTATTCTTCCTTGCTTGACCCTTTTTTCTGTTTTCCATCTGTCCACTTCTTTCTTCACCTTCTCCACTAGCAGCCATCAGGGTCAACATTGACAGTAGTCACTTCTGCCCTCCGATAATCTAGTTTGTATGTGTTTACCTTTTGTCTTCGGTTAAATTTTGTTTCCTAACACTAATCCATGAACTAGATTTATTTTTAACAGAACACAATCTTGGTTTCATTCTTCTCTCCCAGTACGCAATCCATGTTTATTTACTTGCTGCTTACTCTGTTCTAGTAGTTAGTAGCTAGTCATTTAATTACGGAAATTATGAATGAAAAGTTAATTAACTATTTATTTTTTGTAGTAACCTTATGAATATGATCTACGACTTAATCTTCTTAATCTTTATCCATCCATGTCCATATAAATCATACTCAAGTCCTTTGCTGGTCCAAAATCAATCTTCTGTTGACCTGAAAACCAGTCTAGCAGAGGACTGAACGCCCACCCTTATTCTGACTGATTCATTGAAGCAAAAGACTGAATTTAGTCCACTAAATTATTTTATTATCTAAAAATTGTTTTAAGTGTTAATTTCTAGTCTACTCATAATAACTTAATTATGGCTATATGATTTATGCCTGTATGTTATTTACATTTGTGAGCCTTTGTGGTCTTTTCATTTTATTCATCTAGCAAGTGCGATGGATCAATACGTACATAATATTATTCTGGAATTTATAAAATAATAATATTAAATTCAAAATTTTTGCGGATCACCGTACTAAGGCAATCGGCTTGTTAGCCCCTCTTATCATCTTAGTATCGTCTTTTCCTATAAAACTCTGAGCCTGCAACCAGAACTGTTAGGAAACTGTTTACATTAATTTTCTTCGTCGGAAAAAGTAATGTGTTATTTTAGGTTAGATTGTATTGTCTTATCTTTAACACTTAATCCCTCAACAAGTGAACATTGTTATTTTTACATAAGGATTCAGTTATAATTCAAAATTCTCAAAGTTCTCATAGATACACATGTAGAAAGTTAAGTACATACATATAAACTAATGTTGAAAATAATGATAACGCGTAGTGAAATGCTTTCCTCCCGATAACATAAAACACAAAAGAACGTAACGCATAATGTGGGTCACGTGTTTTATTATTTATTCAAATATTAATAAATACAAAATATTCGTAATGATTTTCATAAAAAGAATCATCACAATTTGCGGATATAAAATCATAATTATCACATTTTTTCACAATTTCTCAACAAAAGTTAATCATATATGCTTAACAATCTAAAAGCATTCATACTTCAGTTTTTAACAAAAATGAGGAAATAGTAACATTCTCTGGTCTAAACCAGGAGTTTTCAATAGTTCAAACAAAACAAGTACTCATACATCCATCACACTATCCTAAACCACTAAATCATCCTTATCTAAAATGAGGTTTGAATCATCCAGATCAATTAGTCCTCAACTTCTACGCATAGGATGCTGCAAAAAGAAATTCGATTAAAATCTCAAAGAATCGTTTGTAAAGATAGCATTCAAAGTTTCTAAAGAGCTTACAAGTACTACCAGCTCTTTGTTTCTTTGATGTAGAGCATTTTCATTGTCTTCTTCTACAGTAGCTTGATTATTAATAATATCAACATCAAGGTAATCCTTATCTTTGTTATCACGATTATCACCATCTAGCTAACTCGGATCCTCCTGGGAGACAAGGCTCCTCCACCTCCAGTATCCACTCATCATCAGGAGACCGTCCCGACAATAAAATGGGATCCATCGATTGTGCCTTCTTTTGCATGTCTCAATATAATATTGTACATAATATAGACAAGAGAGTTGAAACGTTCTTGCTCCAAATGACATCTCTTCTTTGAGTGGACCTTCAAGAATGACAACAACTAATTAACTTACTAGACTAAAAGATATTTATTATTTAGCAATCTTTTAAACTTGGTTTGTCCTTACTTGCTCCGAAGTGAGTGGACCTTCAAGAATGACAGCAACTTATTAACTTATTAGACTAAAAGATATGTATTAATTATTTAATAATATTTTAAACTTGGATTTTCATTAGTTGCTTAAAAGCGCTCCAATTGCGATCGCATCCTGGTGCTCTAGTAGTGAGAGAGAACACGAAATGCAAACAATTGTGGTGTTAAGAGTGTCCTCATCAAATCTCTCCTACAAAAAAGCTATAAATTTATGTTAGACATCACAAATTTAACATAAGAAAACACCAATATTGTACACTTTAATAACAAATTGAAAATTATAAAAATTACTATTTGGACTACGAGAAGCAATAGTCCTCTGAGATAACTCAGATCTAAACTCTCCTACTCTCTTCTGGTAGGAATCCAGCTCCACATCAGCTTGTGCTCTCTCGCTAATGTCAAGGATCATGGGAGTCATGCACTCATGGAGTCCTTTTTTCACTTGAATGCTCACTAAAATTCTTCCTATAGAAGTATCTAGGATTAAAATAGTAAGTGGCGGCATGGATAAGTTGATGCATCATGTCCGCCCATCTCAAATCAATCAAATTTTGATACATTTCCTCTTTATCCCATCACATGCCTTTGCAATTGGCGCTAGCCATCATTTCATAGAAGAATGTCAAAGAGGGCCTTACATAAGGATCCACCTCTTAAATGACATAAACTAGTGGGAGAGTAGTGGTAAAACAAAACATCACATTTCCAAAAAGTTGTCTAGAGTATTGTGTCCTTCGTAGAGGTGGAAAGTGGAAACGAACCAAATAGTTAACAAATAGTTTGTTGATTGTTCGAGTAACTATTTGGTCATGATTCATTTGATAATTCATTTAACACTAAATAAATAATATTTAGTATTCGAGTTCATTAATGAATAGAATTTAGCCTGATGTATATTTGATTCATTTGCTTATCAAATATTTGTTTAAAATTTGATCTCTTATAATTTGTATTATTACGCATATGATGTTATATTTTCAATCCACTTTTATTTTTCACTTAAGTTCTATATACTAATTTTGAGAGGCTTAAAGAATCTTAATTCTAATAAAATGTTTAAATTAAATATATATACATCATAACTACAACGAAATAATTTTTATTTATAGATTTAAATATTTTTTAGAACTTAAATTCTCAAGCAATATGAATATACTTTGACATTTTATAAATATTATTGAATATTCATGAATATTTATTAAATACCGAGTATTCAAGTTCGAATTCGAAAAACTCCAGATGTAGATATTCAAGTTCATGTTCGAATTCGATAAATACAATACGAACATTTTAGTATTCGATTTGATTTGTTTGTTTACCACCCCTAGTCCGTCGTATTCACTCCTTTTGGCTTTCTCGCCCAATTGCTTCTAATGAACTCTTTAGAAGAGAACATGTTCCTCAACGATTGTTCTAATAGAACCTTTGGAGTGTGAGAAAAGAAGTGGCAAATCAAGTCATGACTGGCCGAAGCAATGTTTTAAAAAGCGGGCACCTAGGTAGGTACAACCTTTGGAGTGTGAGAAAAGAACTGGCAAATCATGTCAGGGCTGGCTGAAGCAATGTTTTAAAATGCAAATGTGTAGCCCGCTTAGGCACCCATCTAAGCGTAAGCAGTACTTAGGCTGCCCGTCTAAGTCTTGGGAACGTATAGGGGAGCGTGGGTGATGCGAAACAATGTGATGCAGGTATGAAGATTAACGACAACAATGCTTAGTCAAATCAGCGATCGATCTAGGCAGGAAGCTCAAGAATAAAGTGTAGCTTTCGATGAGTTTTAAGCAAAAGTTGCAATGTACTAAGTTTGAACCTTTGTAAAATTATTCCGATAAATAATGTAATGATTCGTTCTCTAATATGGTTCAATTTGTAATATTTAGATAAGCAAAATACTTGGCAACAGAATCGCTCGCTCACTAATCAAACTGAATACAACGCAATCAATTGATATTAAAATTGAGAATAACACGTACGCAATAGTACCGAAAATACAGAGTCGAAAGAAAACAAAACCTGCGTCAGACTGGACTGATTCAAGTCTGATCCAACACAAATCAGACCCAAATAAAATGGGCCAGGTCTATTCAAAGAACCAGATCTGACAGATCTGTTCGGGGTGCTT